CCAAGAAAGGCCTGTCCTGGGGCTCTGCCTGGCTGGACTGGGCTGAGAGGAAGTAAAGAAGGTGCTGGGCTTCCCAGTGGCGGCCCACAGGGGACTTCTTTGTGCCGTTGCAGGGTCAGCCACCCCAACATCGTGGCTCTGGAAGATGTCCACGAGAGCCCTTCCCACCTCTATCTGGCCATGGAGCTGTGAGGAGGGCAGGATCAGGCGGGGTGGGGTGGGGGGGCGCTTGGTTTGGGTGGTAAGCTGGGGCCCGGGAGGTGCCTGGGTCTGCTGAGTTGCTGCTCTCCTCAGGGTGACAGGGGGTGAGCTGTTCGATCGAATCATGGAGCGTGGTTCCTACACGGAGAAGGACGCTAGCCACCTGGTGGGCCAGGTCCTTGGCGCTGTCTCCTACCTGCACAGCCTGGGCATCGTGCACCGAGACCTCAAGGTGCTTGCCCACCTGGGGCTTGCCCGGTGTCCCTGTGCCAGGGATCTGGGGAACCTGAAGGCACCCAGCTCCAAGAGCTGCTCCAGGGCTGACCTGCCGTTCTTTCTGCTATCTGTGCATCACAGCCTGAAAACCTCCTCTATGCCACCCCCTTCGAGGACTCCAAGATCATGGTCTCTGACTTCGGCCTCTCCAAAATCCAGGCTGGCAACATGCTAGGCACCGCTTGTGGGACCCCAGGCTATGTGGGTGAGTGAGGGGGTGCCCCCAGGCTCCACCGGGAGCTGGGGGAGGGGGCAGGGGACCCTGTGGGTGCCGTGGTGCCAGGGGTAGGCCAGGTGGTGGGTCCACTAAGCCATACTGAAGGCTCAGTGTGCGTCTGTCTGTCTCTGGCCTCCAGCCCCGGAGCTCTTGGAGCAGAAACCCTATGGGAAGGCTGTAGATGTGTGGGCCCTGGGTGTCATCTCCTACATCCTGTGAGTGACCACGGGGAAGGTTTTTCTTCTGCCTGCCTGCCCCCAGCTGGGTTGGGGAGGTTTGGACAGCTGGCTGATTCATCTGTGGGTGCCAGGCTGTGTGGGTACCCCCCCTTCTACGACGAGAGCGACCCTGAACTCTTCAGCCAGATCCTGAGGGCCAGCTACGAGTTTGACTCTCCCTTTTGGGATGACATCTCAGAATCAGGTGAACTTGAGGCTGATCCAGAGCTCAGGGAGGCGGGTAGGGACGAGGGCCCGTGGGGACGTGGGGGACTGACCCCAGCCTGATCTGGCTTCCTGGCTCCAGCCAAAGACTTCATCCGGCACCTTCTGGAGCGAGACCCTCAGAAGAGATTCACCTGCCAGCAGGCCTTACAGCATCTTTGGTGAGTGGGACCCCTGCTGAGCTGTCCAAGGGGACCTTCAGAACCCCCACTGCCACTGACCTCCGGCTGCCCCCTAGGATCTCTGGGGATACAGCCTTTGACAAGGACATCCTGGGTTCTGTCAGTGAGCAGATCCAGAAGAATTTTGCTCGGAATCACTGGAAGGTCAGTGTGGACAGGGACCTGGGGGAACTATCTTAAGGCTGGCTGCTCCTTCCGTCAGTCTCAGGAGGATGGTCTGGGCGACCAGTGACCTTTGTGGGCCTGCAAGTCTTAGAGGACCTCTTTATGGGCCTTCAAGTCTTGGGCCTGAGACGTGGTGGCCTGATACCCCTCTCTCCTGGCAGCGCGCATTCAATGCTACCTCCTTCCTTCGCCACATCCGCAAGTTGGGGCAGAGCCCAGAGGGTGAGGACGTCTCTGGAAGAAGGGTGATGAGCCGCAGCCACCCGGGCCTCCCGACTGGCCAGCCTCCTGAGTGGTGACAGCCAGGTGCATGCTGGGAGATGGCTCCTTGACGAACTCCAGAAGTGGCAGGCCTCAGGCGGCCTAGAGCTCAGTGGGCTGAGGGCGGAGAGTGCAGACAGGGGTGGGGGGGGTGGGGGCGGGGTCCCTGAGAAACGGATGAGTGAGGTGGGGGGTCAGGCCATGCTGCCGGCCTGGATTCTTGAGGGGCCGAGTGCCGGGCCCCAGTGGGCACCTGTGCTGAGAGCCTGGGCTGGAGGCCGGGGGCACAGGGCAGGCCATGGGGGGCCTCCTGAGCGTCAGCTTTCCTGTGCTTCTCTCCTCCCCTCTCCTCCAGGCAGGTGTCCAGGCTGAGTGCATGGCCCCTGAGTCCTGTTGGGTGGGGTGCATGGCACTGGGGTGGGGTGTTTGCAGACTTCCCCTCCCCTGTTGCCACCACACCCCAGCTACGAGCCAAGAGGCCCCCAGGGGTGTCCGGCCCTCACGTGTTCTGTGCTTCACTGTGGGTGGTCCTGCTTGTGTTGTGGCCCTCCGGATCCCCCACCTGCCCCAGTCTCCCCCAAATCAATAAAGACAGACAGAGCAGTGGGCAGTGGTGAACTGGAAGGAGGGATGAGGGGTGGAAGGGCGAGGGTGGAGGGGGCTGGATGTCTTCCACGGGAAGGAAATCAAGGAGGCAGGTCCACTGCCATGAGACTTGGCCCATCACTGCCCGAGCGTTCGCACACAAGCGCCTGGCGGGCCAAGGATTTCCTGTCCCCACTCTCCAAAGTGCCAGCAAGAGGCAGCCCAGAGGGCCAGCGGGGCCACCAGTCGGGGTTGGCCTGCATGTGGCTCTGGGGCCCTGGGAGAGAATGGGTGCATCTCCTGCTGGCAGCGGGGGTGGGAGGCGGGGAGGGCTGTCTCCAGGCCTCCAGGGATGGGCTGGGTCAGGCTCAGGGGCAACCAGAGTCCGGGACATTTTTTGCCCACTCTCCATTCCTTCCCCTGCTTCCTGGGGCCCTGGATGGACAGTGCACGCCCTGTATTTGCAGGCAAAGGCTCTCCCGCCTCAGTATCCAAGGCTGAGGGAGACGCCCCTGGCCAGTAGAGGGCTGCACTGGGGCCCCCACCATCTGCTGGGTCGTGGCTTCGGTGCACCTGGGCTCCAGGTTCCACAGGGCCTTTGCCCTGTTTGTGCTCATCATGGGAAGACTCTGAGGACCTTGGCCCCATCCGGGGCAGAGGGAGCACCCTGAGTTCTGGGCGAGCGGGCCACCCCTTTGCCCCACCGCTCTGTGCTAGCCTGAGACGCCCTGAGCAGCACCAGGCTCTGGGCCCATCAAGGCCAGCCTCTGGAGCTCCGCCCTGTCCAGCCACTGCAGAACCTGATGAAGACGCTTTTCCATGTTGACATTTGGGCCCTGAACGGAGGCAGTGAGAAAGCCCAGAGCAGGACTGGCCTGGGGCTCAGGGGTGGGGCTGGAACAGGGCATGCCTGCCTGCTGCTTCCCAAACCCCAAGTGCCTTCTCTGGCTTTCTCCTCTCCCCACTCACTACCTTCCATGTACATCTGCCCACGGGCCCCTGAGCCCCGGGGCAAGTCTTGAGGGCGTAGGCAGCTTCGTCCTCTGTTGCTACGGGCACTTTTTGCTCCAGGCTTCAGGGTCAAACAGGGTCAAACACTGAGGTCCCACCACACCAGCTGCCAACAGCTCAAGGGACCATGGACAGGTCTCCAGAGCTTGGCCTCTTAACCTCCAACAACCTGGCCTGCCTGCCACTTGGGGCCTTGTCAAGAACTGTCCTGCCCCCTAGGACATCCACTTCACTGGCCCCCCTTCCCTGATTTCGGTTGTTCACACTGTCTCCCCAGTGCACTCACACTGTCTCATTTTGCTGTCCAAATTAATGAGGCCTGTAGTGTGTGCCAAGCGCTGGGCCCGCGGGCCAAGGGTGCCTGCCTTTATGCAGAAGGCCCTGCAGCAGAGGGAGTGGGCTTCCTCAGACGCAGGAGAGAGTAGCCGCTGGCTGCTCCTGGAGGCTTGAGCTGGCACACCAGAGCCAGCCTTCCAGAAGGAATGGCGCTCCTTCAGAAATACCCAGCCCAGGTTGCCCCCTGGTCCTCACTGAGGAGTCAGAGCCCTGGCTCCAGAAGCAGGGAAGTGAAGTGAAGTGAAGTGAAGTCACTCAGTCGTGTCTGACTCTTTGTGACCCCATGGACTGTAGCCTACCAGGCTCCTCCGTCCATGGGATTTTCGAGGCAAGAATACTGGAGTGGGTTGCCATTTCCTTCTCCAGGAGATCTTCCCGACCCAGGGATTGAACCTTGGTCTCCCGCATTGTAGGCATGTGCTTTACCGTCTGAGCCACCAGGGAAGTCGGGCCACAGGGAGATACGGTGCAACTTGACCTCCAGCCAGCAGGTGGCGCCAAGGTCACATTTTTCCCCCCCACCCTGTTGATCCTTCAGCACCTGGGGCAGCTGCTCAGAACCACTGTCTCCCCCAAATCTTGCCTTCCTGCGAGTCAGGCAGAGGTGGCACCCTTTCCTTCATCCCTCCAAGCCCTTCCCGTCTTAGCAGTTTGTGAAAAGAAAGCTTTGGGTCACCCAGGCCGTGGGAGCATTTCCAGGCTCAGGGAACAGCAGGGGCTGCTACTGGAGGGACCTATCAGACTGAAGCCTGGTTTGGGGGAGTCTCTGGCCAGTGATGAGTCAGTGTTGGGGTGGGAGCCAGACAGCGCCCTTGTCCACACTGGGCAGGTGCTGAGCTTCTGTGAGTTGGGAGTTGGGATCAAAGGACTGGCCAGTCCATCCTAAAGGAAATCAGTCCTGAATATTCACTGGAAGGACTGAGGCTGAAGCTGAAACTCCAGTACTTTGGCACCTGATGTGAAGAACTGACTCATTGGAAAAGACCCTGATGCTGGGAAAGATTGAAGGCAGGAGGAGAAGGGGACGACAGAGGATGAGATGGTTGGATGGCATCACCGNAGTTGTATCCAACTCTTTGCGACTCCATGGAATGCAGCAAGCCAGGCCTCCCTGTCCATTACCAACTCCCGGGGTTAACCCAAACTCATGTCCATTGAGCAAGTGATGCCATCCAACCATCTCATCCTCTGTCATCCCCTTATCCTCCTGCCTTCAATCTTTCCCAGCATCAGGGTCTTTTCCAATGAGTCAGTTCCTCACATCAGATGGCCAAAGTACTGGAGTTTCAGCTTTAGCTTCAGTCCTACCAATGAATATTCAGGACTTCTTTCCTTTAAGATTGACTGATTGGACCTCCTTGCAGTCCAAGGGACTCTCAAGAGTCTTCTCCAACACCACAGTTCAAAAGCATCAGTTTTTCAGTGCTCAGTCTTCTTTATGGTCCAACTGTCACATCCATACATGATTATTGGAAAAACCTTAGCTTTGCATAGACGAACCTTTGTTGGCAAAGTTATGTCTCTCCTTTTTAATATGCTATCTAGGTTGGTCATAGCTTTTCTTCCAAGGAGCAAGTGTCTTTTCATTTCATGGCTGCAGTCACCATCTGCAGTGATTTTGGAGCACAAGAAAATAAAAATAAAGTCTGTCACTGTTTCCATTGTTTCCCCATTTGTTTGCCATGAAGTGACAGGACTGGATGCCATGATTATCATTTTTTGAATGTTGAGTTTTAAGCCAGATTTTTCACTCTCCTCTTTCACTCTCATCAAGAGGCTCTTTAGCTCTTCTTCACTGTCTGCCATAAGGGTGGTGTCATCTGTGTATCTGAGGTTATTGAAATTTCTACTGGCAACCTAGATTCCAGCTTGTGCTTCATCCAGTCTGGCATTGCACATGATATACTCTGCATATAAATTAAATAAGCAGGGTGACAATATACAGCCTTGATGTACTCCTTTCCCAATTTGGATCCAGTCTGTCATTTCATGTCCATTTCTAACTGTTGCTTCTTGACCAAGACATAGAGGCCATAAGACTGAGCTAAGGTCACATAGCCTTGTGCTCGACCTTCTGCCAGCCTCTGGGCAAGGAGGATGGCTCCCTGGGAATAGGAAGGCCAAATGGGGACTGAGAAGAAGATGGCGGAGCTCTTCTCTACCTTTCCTTTGGTGAGTGCAAATTGTTGGTGTGAGGACAGAGGAAGAACACTGGGCTAGGGGGGCACCCTGGATTGGAGTCTCAGCCTTGCAAGTGGTTCTCTTGCCTTTAACATCCTCTGTGCCTCTATTTCACTGAGTTAATTCTTTGTGAAATAGGAACCTGGGTAGTGGGGTCAACCCCTGGGGTTCACTGTGAAGGGCTACTGGGAAGTGGGGCAGGGCTGACACTTCTGGGGGACTGTGTCGGGGGGCAAGGCAAGAAATGGAGGGAGCCAGTATCAAGGCAACTGAAGAAGGACAGGAAAGATGAAGGTTGGCAGTGGTGGATGGAACAGGGCTCTGTGAGGGAGTCTAGGAGAGAAGCAGACCAGTTGAGGAGATGAAGGGGCCAAGCCAGGCCCTCTGTCAGGACTCAAAGCCTAGCTCTTTCCTACCAGCCACTGGGTGGTCCTACAGCAGCCATGTTCTCTACCCAACCCCAGCTCTGCTCAGGTATCCTTGTCTCCATCCCTGTCTCCTCAGGTGGGCAAGACGTGGAGTATGGAGTGTTTCAGGAAGAAGCAAATAACCTGATTTGATTTCTTGAAGGTGGTTGTGAAAAGTGGTTCAGAGATTGGCCAGAAAAAGTGAACTTTCTCAAGAGGGCACTGTGGAGCTACTGGAGGGCTGTAGGTAGGATAGTGACAAGATTAGATTTTTGCTTGAAGAGAGTTTTCCGGTATTTTTCGACCCTATCTGGCCTCTCTTGATAAATATAAAAATCTCATCTCTAGATTCCACCCCCCCTACCCAGGCCCCATTGAGAGTTCTATAGTTCCCCTCATGCCAGGGAGCCAAGCCTGCCTCATGTGATATTCTGAGTAGAGGCCCAGTTGCTTTTTCCTCAGTTGAGGCTTGTTGTTCAGTTGCTCAGTCGTGTCCAACTCTGTGACCTCATGGACTGCAGTACTCCTGGCTTCCCTACCCTTCACCGTCTCCTGGAACTTGCTCGAATTCATATCCATCGAGTCAGTGATGCCATCAAA